CCCACACCACATACTTCCATTATGTCAAGCTTCAAGCTCATCTTGAGCAAGGTCTGTACACTACCCTGAGCTATGGCCAGAGGATTGACACCCAGGCAGATAATCACTTTCTTCCTCTGGTGTGAGAGGTAAGGGTGATAGGAGAGCACAAGTCGTATATGTTATTTAAGATAGCCCTTCTCATGCTGTTATTTTTCAGGCAGTAGTACTTCTATTTTGTGGTAGAACCAACCTTTTAGAAGACATGATTTAGGAATAGGAGTGGAGGGTAGGCAGGTAAGCCTAGGCGGGGGAAAGGAGTGAAGAATCTCGGAAGTCCTTCTCTATGGCAGAGCCTCACAAATCCCAGCCCGACCTCCCCGGCTCCAGTGTATCCCATATGCAGTGTTGCTGGAGGCCCTTGCCCTGCGGAATGTGCGGCAGCTGGAAGACCTAGTCATAGAGGCCGTGTATGCCGACGTGTTACGTGGCTCCCTGGACCAGCGCAATCAGCGGTTGGAGGTTGACTACAGCATTGGACGGGACATCCAGCGCCAGGACCTCAGTGCCATTGCCCGAACCCTACAGGAGTGGTGAGACCTGTGTCCTGGCACTGTCCCTTCTTTCACCCCACGCAGGGGAGAGGTGCTTTGGAGGGGGAGGGCTGGGCGGCAGAGGTGGAATTCAAGAGGATGGAGGGAAATGAGCTCGTTCCTTCTGAGAGAAGACAGGAGTGGAGGGGCTTGGGAGGCAAGAGACAGGAGATGGTGTCCTTAGTTTCATAACTGGGGGAGGGAAAGGTGAGTTGTACTCTTGAGAGGACCCTCACTGGGAAGTTGGTTACCTTAGGCTGGATTTAACCCATTAGTCTGTAACCAGCACTGTCCACAGGCCCTGGGCCTCTTCCACTTCTGCTTTCTCTAACTTTAATTAGTACACCTTCAATTTCTCTTTAGCAGCCCCTATCCCACTTTGGTTTTGAGTTCCTACTCCCATTTCGCACATCACTCCACTCACTTCCTTATACCTCTCTAATCCTACCTGAGTGTCCTGGCTCCTGGGAATATTGTTGCAGTGGTTTCCAGATGCCCTGGTGAGGGTTCCTAACTCAGACAAGGATTTGCATATCAGGATCTAGGGTTCTTTCTGGGTCTATTTTTAGTGAGTCTGTGATCACAGCTCTCTTCTGCTGACACTTCTCTCCTCATTCCCGCAGGTGTGTGGGCTGCGAGGTAGTGCTGTCAGGCATTGAGGAGCAGGTGAGCCGTGCCAACCAGCACAAGGAGCAGCAGCTGGGCCTGAAGCAGCAGATTGAGAGTGAGGTGAGCTGTCAGGGGAGTGAGACAGACCCAAGCTCCTTCAGCCGGAGCCAGTTGTCAAATGCAGAGGGGTTTGGACAGTGGCTATAGCAGACAAACAAGGTGGGCAGGACTGTCAGGTTCTGGAACCTTCCTTGTTATCCCCCACTCCTTTCATCCTGGTAGGTCGCCAACCTTAAAAAAACCATTAAAGTTACAACAGCAGCAGCCGCCGCAGCCACATCTCAGGACCCTGAGCAACACCTGACTGAACTGAGAGAACCAGCTGCTGGCACCAACCAGCGCCAGCCCAGCAAGAAAGCCTCGAAGGGCAAGGGGTGAGCCAGTGTGGCAGGAATTGCTCGCTTCCGGGGTGCCCTGCTTTTTCTTCAGAGACCTGGCTGCCTTCACTCCCTTTAGTCATTTGCAGGGGGTAGGGAATGGGGGAACCTTCAGGGATTAGGGGATTCCTTGCAGCTTCTCTCTCTTTCTTCTCCTTGCCAGGCTCCGAGGGAGCGCCAAGATTTGGTCCAAGTCGAACTGAAGGGACTGTCGCTTTTTTCCTCTGGGGATACGGGGTCCCAGCTGCCTGGCTGCCCCTTAGGAGTCCTCAGAGAACCTTCCTGTGCCCCTGGCCAGCTGATAATTTTAGGTTCATGACCTTTCATCTCTCTTCTGTCCCCCACCCCCAAGCATAGATCACACCTTCTCTAGGGAGGAGGCAAGTACAAGTCATGTTTTGTTGGTACTTTTTGTTTTATGTGACTTTCTTATGTGTCCCATTGTCCCCCTCCCCTTCCCTACCATGCTCTCTCTCCTATATTTTTAAGAGACAGCACTGCCCTTGTTTATTATGTCATTGAGTAGGTGGGGCTGCTGGTCTCCAATAAACCCACATGTGATCCTTGTCCTACCACCCCACCCCTGCATGACTAATTCCCGATTCCTACTCCCTACCCCCAGCCTATTTGGGCAGCATCTACAGAGCTGTAGGGCTCCCATTTCTGTTCCCACCCTGAAAGTTCTGGGAGCTAGTCTGCCATTCTAGGAGTCACTGGACACTTTCATCCTCAAATTGTGTCGTTTCTTTTCACCTCCCCTTGGGTCCTGGGAATGCTGCTGCTTCAATGACCCCAGAGCCTAAGAAGGGCAGCTGTTTCTCGAGATGTTGAGAGATAGTTCTTTCTTGGCCCTGGCTATCTTAGAAAGCCTGATGGCAAACCTGGAAGAATTTATACTTCCTTTTTGTGAGTTTTATGGAGAAGGAAAGGGGATATAGATTGTATTAAAAAAGAAAAGTATACATATATATACTATATCTATATATAACGTAACACAGAAATAAATCTATGAGAAGTCTATCGATAAGCATGCCCTGAACTGGGTATCTTCTGTCTTTGTTATTTGTGGATGGGAAGAATGGTCGTTCCCAGTCCACTGTACAGCATGGTGCTGGAAAATGAAGAGAACCAGATACTTTGTGCTGAGTCTTGGCCTACATGACTTTGGACAGATGGCTCAGTATCTCAGCATTCGTTCCGAAGTAGTGGATACTTTGTGAGCACCAACATGTGACAGGCACTGGAGATGCAAAGTGATGATCACTGTCCCCAAGGAGCTGGAGTTCAGCCTGTTTCCTTCCACCTTAAAGAATTACAAGGGGAAGATTGACAGTACACTTCAGTTTTTGCATCAGAACCACAGAGCTCAGAGTTTCCCTAGCATTGTACTGAGAGGACTGGTCTTGGCCTAGTCCACTGTTGTGCATTCCCTGGAATTGGGAAGCACTAGTGTAAGGGATAGTTGCCCACCCCCCACACACAATTGCATGTGAAGCAGTTGCCTCCTGAGGGTCCCAGATCTTGTGCTATTCTCTAAATGGAGAAAAGTGGGGTGGAATTCTGAGTTTATTATTAAAGTGGGCTGGGTAAGCATATTGTCTTGAGGGGGCTATGGAGACTTAATGGGACCAATCCAAAGAGCCCTACTTCAGGAGTTGATACTCCTGGCTTCTCATTTTAGCTTTTCTCTAGACAAGCATTTTAAGCCTGTTGCATCTTGATTCTCAGTCTCTACCTCTGAAATAAACCCTTCCTTCCTCCCACAACCTTCTAATGTATAGAAGTTGCTCATTCCTAGTGCTTTAAACCTGTCTCCCCTTCCTCTGCCCATGCCCGTTTTTCTCTTGAACTTATACATTTTCCTGCAAGCTGGTTGCAGCTAATGGCTCCATAACTTCCTGACCTCTCTAGCTCCATCCTTTAGTGCAGCGGTTCTCAACCTGTGGGTCACGACCCCTTTGGCGGGCGAACAACCCTTTCACAGGGGTCGCCTAAGACCATCCTGCATATCAGATATTTACATTACAATTCATAACAGTAGCAACATTATAGTTATGAAGTAGCAACGAAAATAATTTTATGGTTGGGGTCACAACATGAGGAACTGTATTTAAAGGGCCAGGGGACCCTTTCCCCCTCTCTAGGTGGGAGTCTGTACTTGTTCTTCAATAAATCTCCATCTAAATAAATAAATAAAGGGCCAGACGGTTGGGTGGCTCTAGAGCATTGGTTCTCAACCTTCCTCATGCCGCGACCCTTTAATACAGTTCCTCATGTTGTGACCCCAACCATAAAATTATTTTCGTTGCTACTTCATAACTATAATGTTGCTACTGTTATGAATTGTAATTAAATATCTGATATGCGATGGTCTTAGGCGACCCCTGTGAAAGGGTCGTTCAACCCTCAAAGGGGTCGCAACCCATAGGTTGAGAACTGCTGCTCTAGAGTAGTGTGTTCTGGGCTGGGACTGCCTGGCTAAATATCCAAAAAAGGAGGGGGACCCTTACAGCCCCAGGGACATGCAAATGCAATTTGTCTTTGATTTGCAAAGATGGGCTCTTGGCTACCAAGGCATGGAGAAGAGGGAGCGGAGTATTTGTGGACTCAGTTTTTGAGCATGAAATTTGGTTCAGGATTTAGGGATTCCATGTATAAATAGGCCCAGGGCACCAAGAAAATCTTCCTAACCAAGACTCTTATCACCACTTGCACACACTCACACACTCATCCTGGACCACCATGGTAAGAGGAGGAGGAAGAGAACCTCCTTTCATGAGAATTCAGAGTTCATGCACATGAGGCAGATGACACTGAAAAGATTAAACCAAAGTCTCTGAAGCTAAAAACGGCGGTTGGACTGGTGCCTGTCCTCATGCACAAGAAAAACAGACAATGTCTACAGTCAGTGTTTTGTGAAATCCTTCTAGAGAAGAAATTCTCCCCTTAGGTGCATCTTCCAACATGAGTGGAAAGAAAGGCATGTAGAGAGACAAATCTAGGCGGTGTATTATATATTACTGTGTCCAAATTATCCCAGAACTTAGTGGCTTAAAACCACACATTTATTAACTCAGTTTCTCTTTTGGGATTTGGCACAACTGAGCTGAGTTTTCTGCTTTAGGGTCGCTCACAGGCTACAAACAGTGCTCATTAGGGCCATATTATTTCAAGGTTACAATGGGAAGGACTTGATTCCCACACGCTCAGTGATTGTCAGCAGCATTCACTGCTTCAGAGGTGGATGGA